GGCACGTGAAAAGTTGTTTGATGTTTGTGCAGAGAGCGAGAAATCAACTGGAAAAAATAACAAAAAGCAAAGAGTAGAAGTCCTCGCAACAAGCCGAAGATGAAATACGCTTGAAAAATAAAAATGGCTAAGAGCTGATTTGAGGTGAATTGGGAGATAAGTTAGAAGAAGTTTCAATAAGCTTGCAGAACAATATGGTAAAGAGCTGATGTGATGCGAAGATGCGAGAAGATAAGCTAGAAGAACTAGTTAAGTTTGGTTAGATTAACTAGAGAACTAGACACAATTCAATTATTATTTTTTTTTGTAATTTTCAATATTTTTTCATATTTTTATGAGAACTAAAGCCTCTTTCTATGCGTTACACATTTGTTGACATAACTAAAATACCCTGCACAAGTGCATTGAAAAATTCAAGGCAGCACACAATTCGTGCACGTGAGCTGCAAATGTATGTTGGAAAGCGTATTAAAATGCAGCGGAAGTGCAGCTAGAGACAGCTGTTATATATATATATATATATAAAAAGAATATGATTTATATATATATATTTACTTTTGATTACAAAATGTTCGTTCAGGAGTTATGAAAATTCATAATATGCCAATATGAACAAGATACCCAACAAGTCCCACTCCCCCTCTCCCCCTCCCCCTCTCCCCCTCCCCCTCTCTCTTCCTCTCCCCCTCACACACATGCGTTGGCTGGCGTGCAAGTTTGTGGTCTTTTAAAAGATTGTTTGCATTATTTGTGGCCGCTGTTGTTGGTATTTGCCAGTCCCACCAATGGGCCGCCCCCCACAGCCACGCCCCCTTATGGAAAACGAAGCCAAAACATTTGCTGAGCTGTTAACAAAGTGAAACCGCATAGTTTGTTTCGCTAAAGTTTGGCGAAAACGAAAAAACGATAACGGTATTTAGTTTGCATGCGCATCGGGTTTTTAGGGTTTTGTCGGTTTTTTGGGTTTCAGTTTGGGTTTTTGCGGGCGCTTTTACGGCTGTTCTTCTTCTTGTTGCTGTTTTTGTTGTTGCTGCTGCTGCTGCTGCTGCTGCTGCTCCAGAGGATTAGCAAACAGCAAGAGGAGCAGCAGCCCAGTTGAGCAGAGTCCTGCGATTATGCGTATGCCTGTTAAGCCCGCAGCTTAGAAAAGTTTGCCATATTTTTGAAGGGTTTATCGAAAATAAATACACAAAAAAGCACAACATAATAATAATAATAACATGGGGGAAATATATACATACACAGCAGCTTGGATGTCTGGAAGCCCTAAAGAAATTTAAATACAATTTATTAAAATTGAAATTCATACGCTTAAAACGAGTTGAGTTGAGTTGAGTTGAGTTGAGACGAGTTTGGAATGTGGGAAAATCAAGTTTCTTTTGAATAGTAGTTAAAGGGACTTGTTATAAATATTTTAACATACAGCTTGAGAGTTAATATGAAGCTATTGATATGCTGCTTCAGTTACAAGTATATATCCTAGCAAAATAGTTTTAGTTTTATAACAACTAAAAGTTAGACCTTTTTGCTGTTGTGCAACACTGAAGTATGTTTTTTAGGTAAGCTATGTACATAAGTTTGTTAAACAATATTAAAGTTATTATCAAACATTGTTTTAAAAGCAGCAGCTGACGATATTTGCGTCATTTTCAGTGTTTTAAAACGGTGTTATATTTAATTGCGAGAAACTAAATGAAGCTTAGTTATGAAGAGCGTCTAACAATAGCTTGTCCTTTTCAGTGTTTTAAGAAGGTGTTTTTTTTTAATTTAGTGTTGTAAAATCCGAAATATTTATGTAAAGAGCGTCTATCGATAGGATTGTCGTTTTCAGTGTTGCAAAGAGCTTCAATTGTGCATTACAAACGAGATTTTAAGACTTAAGACCAAATATGTGGCACAAAATAATGAAAATTTATAAACTTGAGAGTTAAATATGATGTTTATCTTAATACTGGCCTGGGTAGCTCAAGGTAGCTCAACTAATATTTAAGTCTTTTTAAATGTAACTACCTCTAAACCCAGTCAAGCAAAAACCGTAAATAATTTACTACGAAAAATATACTTCCATTTCAGTGGGATTAAAGCTGACCACATTTGAAATAAGCAAATTAAAGCAGCTCGCATTGAATTGATTTTTATGAATTTGCGCCAAATAGATCGATAAAGTGTTAAAGTGATTTTTTATATATATATTTCTGATCCGACATAAATCACAAATAATATTATTTTTATGACTTTTTGCTATTATTTCCAATTGAATTTAAGAGCGCAAGTCCAATCAGAATTAGGCTTAAGAACTGGGCGCAATTTATGTGTAGTGCACACAACAATTACAGTTAGTCACAGCCACGTTAACTGTGACTGGAGAAAACACGCACACACTCAACCACACACACACACACACACGCACAACAAGAAGTCAATTTAGTTGATGCGTGAAGCGATTTATGTTTAGTTCACGCATTTGCAGTGTTTATTTGTTGTTGTTGTTGTTTGCAGTGCTTAATGTTGTTGTTGTTGTTGTTAGTTGTTTAGCAGTTGTTGTTGTTGTTGTTGCTGTTGCTTGGTGTTTTCGGCGGCTGTTGTAACGAGCTGCTAAATCGATTGTGACTAATTTGCGGCAGTCACGAGGCAGGCAGCGATTTAGAAAATACCAACGACTTGCCAAGGACAAGGATCGAGGACGAGAACGAGAACGAGAGCAAGAACAAGGACTCGACTTGACAGCAGGACAAGCGTACGGCAAAGGCAGCGGGGGGCATAGGAGGGCAGCAATGAAACGCGACACATTCCACATTATTAAAATATTAAAGACAATTCAATTGGAAAATTGGCAGGCGGATAGACAGACAGAGAAAGAGAGAGAGAGCGAGAGAGAGAGAGAGAGCAAGAGAGAGAGGGGAAGCGACATAGCTGCTGTCAATGCACACATAAAGTAATTGAAATAAATGTGAACATTTATATATAAATATATATGTATATTATATCTAGAGTAGTGCCTAGTTAGAGAAAGGAAGAGAGAGAGAGCGAAAGAGAGGGCGACAGGGCGAGCGAGTTGAGGCAACTGTTTAATAAATGATTTCCGCTGTATTTTCAAAAAGAGACCCCCCTCCCCCCCTACCCCGGAGCGCTCTATAACAAATGCAGCGTGGGCCAGCCTCTATGTTAGCTATATAGTCTATGTATCTAAGGGTTTTGTATCTGTATCTGCATGCGTCATGCGTTCAGATTAGAGTCGTTGTTCGTGCCTGCCAACAATTGGCACACACACAGACAGACAGGGGAGCACACACAGAGCACAAACTAAATCAGTGCGTGTAGTATCTTTGTATCTGTAGCTGTGCAGCAGATGTATCTGTATCTGTATCTGTAGCTGCGACAATGAGCGCACATTGTTGCCAGCCGACGAGCGCTTGTTGATTTTTGTGCGGGTGCATGTCTCTCATTTCATTATCGGAAATATGCAAAGCGACGGCAAACGCCAAATGCCTGCAAATGATAATGAGGGCTTATCGCAGAGAGAGCGGGAGAGAGAGAGGGAGAGCGAGAGCGAGCGAGAGGCAAGCAGCTCCAAAGCGGAAGTGAAGGCAGCCAAACAGAAACAAACCAGCGTCTGAATTAGCTCCAAACCAAAATGGGGGCAGGCGACAAAAAAAAGGCGAGTAAATAAAAAAAATATAAAATCAATCAACAAGTGGCCAACAGAGGCGCAGAAGGGCTGGCGCTGGGCGTGGCAGAAGTCCGGGCGAGGGGGCCAATTCGCAAGTGTCGTCTATTTGTGCGCAAATAACAAACATTGGACGCAACGTCGGGCAACTGGCAGCTGATTGGCTCTGGGCCTTTGGTTGCAACAGAACAAAGCAGCAGAAAAAGAGGGGGGTGGGGGGGACAGACTGCGCTAAATAATTGATTAAATTAACATTAATGATAATCATATAGCAGCTATATAATACCAGGACAAATATACATAGATATATATATATATATAAATATAGTATATGTAAGCAGAAGTATCTAAAGGCAGCCGCCAGGCACGCACACACTCACACACACAGGCACACACACAGGCACACAGGCCCTCATGCAAGTAATAAAATAATCATAAATAAATAATGATGATTTAGCCAGAAACTGGGAATCGGGCAAGACTCTTGAGTACTCTTCGAGTGGATTTGCTGCTGGTTGCCATGCAAATACGCTGTCTGTTAAGTGCACGGCAGCGTTTTGAGCCTGGCTAAATTGTAATGAAGCAGACGGCCACGCCCACACGCCCACACGCCCACACACAGCGCAGCACAGCGCCCACATGCAAAAGATAGCAAATAAATTGCTATAGAATTTTAGCCAAAAGTCGCATACAAAGACCAAACAGCACGCCAGAAGGGCGGCCAAAATCTCTGTGTGTGTGTGTGTGAGGGGGTGTGGCATGCATGGCTACGCCTGCAGCACAGTTTCAATAGCAGTGAGTGTGCGTGTGTGCGTGTGTGTGTGTGTGTTGGGGTAGAAGGGCAGACTGTCGTCATGTCAAGCAATTCAATTCAATTTGGTTTCTCACGCGTTTGTTTGCCAGCCCACGGATACGTTCTCTGGCATAGACAGACTTGATTTTATTTCTATTTAATTTATTGTACACCATTTTAAATTTATTTATTTTTTTGGCTGTAAATAACAATTTGCGATTTACAATTTAGAGCGCTGGCTGGAAAAGTTTGTGCAACTCGCATACATAACAATTTGCAGGCGCATTAAAAAGTTGCCAGATTAATATTTAAACTGGCGAAAACTTGCACACATATGGCAGCACGCACACACACACAGGCATACCATAAGCACGCACACAGCGAAACTGAAGCATAAAAGTATGCAGCATTAAACTGCACGCAAGTATGCATTACTCACACACACACACACTTGCACTGGCACACTCACCGATAGTCGCACGTAAAGCACTCAATGTCGTTTCATTTTCCACTCATTCCAAAATTGACACTTCTACTTACTTGCGTAGACATCTCCAGCTGCAGTCGCTGGCAGCCGCTGAGCCGTTTTGGTTGTTCGCAGCCGCCTGTCAACGCATTTGTAATTTCCGCCGTCTGCTTCCGTGGCCGCTGGTTAACGGCTTTAAGTGGCGACATCTATTGTCCATACATCATCAACGTCAACTTTAAATAGCGGCCTGCCGTATGAATGCCGACGGCTGTTGCTCGCCTTTACTCTCTCTCTCTTTGACCCTCTCCTTTTCTAGTTCGTATTGATTGCCTGTCGGCGGCACTCACGCATTCACTCACACTCACATACTGACACGCATAAGTAACTGCTAACACAATTTGTAGTCTATGGGTTAACTGTATAACTGGATAACCACACAGCTGATTGCCGCTTTGCCGCGCCAACCAACTTGACACGAGCGAGTTCTGCAGCCAAATGAATCTGAAATAGAAAACTGGAGTGAATTTCGCTCGAAAGATGCTGCGAACACGAACGAACGTCAGCAGCGAAACGACGCGACGCGACACGACACGACACGACGCAACTGGCCAAAAGCTTCGTCAACTGGGACAAGTGTCGCGGCGAGGGCAGGAGCGTACGAGAGCGCAGCATTAAAAGAGTGCACGATTGCACACCAGTGTGCTGCTTGCGCAAGATGTGGCGGGGAAATGGCGGCCAAAGAGCATTGTTGACGTCGTCGTCGTCGGCTTTTTCGAGGGGCAATGTAAACAACAAAATTGGGAGGCTGCGGCTTTTAATTAGCCACCGCTTGCATATTTCAGCAGTTAAGAGAGAAAGAGTGAGAGCGCGGGCGAGCTTTAAGAGAAATCGAGCTGACAGCTGTTAAGAGCGCGAGGCTGCGTGGGTGAGCAGCGGCAGCAGCAGCAACAAAAGCAACAACAGCAGCGCGCTCTGCTGATAAGGCTACTGACCTCTGTGCCCGTGTGCAGTGGCGTCGTGTGTGCAAGGGATTGTATATACGGGGGGGTTGGGTGTTGGCTTAGCTTAGCCTGTCAGCCTGCCAACCGCCTGTCTCACACACACACACACACACACACACACACAAATCAGGTTGGCAGCACCGTTTGGCATAACTAAATGCCAATTAAATGCTTTCGAGTGTTTTCTAAATACGTTGAATTTACACAAATTTCAAATATACCGCAAGTTGCGCCGCTTTTAATTAAATTAATGCATTGCCTATTGCCCACGGGCTTCTCCATCACCATCACCATCACCACGCCCCCCGCACCTGCTGCTGCTATTGCTAGTGCTGCCCACTTAATTGTTGGCATTTTTCTTGTGCTGTCTGGACAAACAGCTGTGCCATCAAGCGCATAGATTACACAACAAACAAAAGCCGCTCAGAGACAAAAGGCAGAAAGGACTAGAGCAGGACTAGACCCTTGTCCGGCCCACGGCCGACGGCTGACGGCAGCCAGCCGAGTTGCGAAATCCGAGCAGCTTTAATTTGGCCACGTCAAGCGCTGAATGAAGGCAAATTTGTTCTCAAAGCAGCAACAACAATAGCCAAGAAACTGGTCCAAAGATTTGCTGCCTACATTTAGGCGCACATATTAATCAAAAAAATAAATATACATATATATATATATATGTAAGAAAAGGCAACTCAGTCTTGACTTTTGGACCTCGTTTGGCTTTCGGAAGCAACTACTAATTGCCAAATGGCTTCTTGGGCCCCAACGTGTTGCTAATATGCCTTCGCTCAAGAGGTTTCTGATTTCAAGTTGGCGAAATTGTGGCGAAAGTGATTTTAATAGAGCTCTTCGAAGGGCTTATGTCTTTGTTGGGCCTCAAATTAAACAGCTGCTTAACTGTTAATATAAGAGTTGGCGAAATTATAGCGAAAGTGATTTTGAGAGATCTCTTCAAATGGATTGAATCTATCTCTTGTTTAGGGCTCAAACTAAACAGATGCTTCGCTGTCAACTGCATTAATTTTCATAGCTACTCTTTAATTAGTCTAAAAGTATTCTATATAGAGTTGGCGGAATTGTGGCGAAAGTGATATTGAGAGCTCTCTTCAAAAAGTGTTAAGCATATGTCTTTGTAAAGGTTTTTATTAAACAACTAGTTAAGTTTTTATTGCATTAAGTCTTAGCTGACTCTGCAATATATCTCTGTAATATATCTTAAAGTATTTCATATTTAATTGACGAAATTGTAGAGAACGAGAGGCTACGACAAATTGTCGATATCGAGGCGTAAAAGAATACAGGAATCAGGTAAAAGTGTGTTAAGAGTATATAAAATTTCGTCGGTAGCAACAAGAACAATTCAAACGTATAATTTCATCAATTACCAAGTAAAAAAAAAAAATTCGAATATATTTTTGTTGTTTTTCCTGCCTCGGCCCAATATACTCGAAAGGAAAGAAAGGCGAAAAATTGTAGCACAAACTCAATCTCAGTTCGACAGCGTCGCAGCATCAAGTTTCTCACAGTTTCTCAGTTTTGCAGTGCACGTAGTTTATGTTTTTCGCTCGCTTTCCCTCGCTTTCATATGCGACACACACACACACACACACACACAGATAGGAATAGAGCCCAAATGATTAATGACCGTTTTGCGTTAGGGTTTCCATTGTTGTTGTTGTTGATTTGCTGGGAACTTGGGTTGTCAACAGAGCGTCGCACAGTTGTCGATGGCAGAATGAAAAGGCGAGGAAAAAGTAGAAGAATCACAATCAGAAGAAGAAGAAGAAGAAGATGAAGAAGTAGCGCATGCACAAAGTAAAACTAAGTAAAAGCCAAAACTTTGCCTGCAAATGAAATTTGATTTCAACGCCGACGGCTGAGCAACAACTCGAGTTACACGACTCTCGAGTCTCCAGTCTCGAGTCCGTAGTCCTGCATCCTGGCAGGCGCCGCAATTTGATTGAGTAACCTTGGGATTGGCAACTCATCAGCAGGCAGCTGGCACAAAGAGCATGCGACAACAGGCAGCGCAATTTCCCTCACGGATTATCCAGTGTTGCAAAAGGAACCGAATAAAAGTGAAAAGAAAAGAAACCATACAAAAAGTGACTGAAAAAATGTCGATGATGCTTCATACTGATTGCTTTAGCTGATCTATGTGATAACGAAGAAGAGGCAGCGGTGCTTTGCAACACTGTAGGCATTGTCAACGCTATGTAACACTGGTCGAAAAAGTAACCGATTATGACCAATATTTTATCCTGACGCTTTAGTCGAGCTGTATGAAATAGGAGTGGCAGCAGAAGCAGAAAAACTCTACAACACTACATTTTACAACACTGACCGAAAAACTCTTGATCCTTAACAGTAAATCGCCGACGTTTGATACTGATTGCTTCAGCTAATCTACATGGTAAGGAAGAAGACGCAGCTTTGCAACACTGCAGCTAATGTTAACGCTTTGCAACACTGCCCAAAAAGAAACTGGTTTTGACGAATGCTTGACACTGATCTGTGTGATAAAGAGGAGCAGCAAATATGCTTAGGCCGTGCAACACTACAGGTATGTGCCACGTTTAACAACACTGCCACAAAAAGTCACAAGTTCTGCATGCCAATTTCAGTTGAAAACTTTGTGCGGCATTTGATGTGGTTTTCTTGCCTGAATATTGAATGCCACATGCTACAGTCGAGAAATGCCGACTGCCTTGATCCTTCCCTGCTGCTTCGTCCTTAACAATTCAGAGCTAACGAGCCGCTGCCGCTGCCGTCGCTGCTGCGGCCAAGTGACAAATGAAAAATGAAAATGTTTTTCAGGCATATTAAAAAGGATTTGCCGTACGCCAGATAAATGTGCCTAGGCACAACGCATTACTTAAATTAATTTTCACACACATACAAAAGGCGCTCACACAGGCGCAGAAAAAAGGACAACTGCTAGACGAAATCGGCAGCTCGGTAAATATTTAAATGAGCAGAAGGACAACAGAGGGCTACAAAATATACAAAAAAAAATAAAACAAATAAATGGCGAACACGTCGAACGACGCATTAAACATGTGCAAATATTTGCGTAGCGATGGGCCAACAAGGGTCCTGTGAAAAGGATATGGAGCAGCACACCTGCAGCAAGGACAACGGGAGCCAGCACGCGAAAAATTATGTCAAAAGCTGTGCAAATACAACAAAACAAAAAAAAAAAACACAAAAAAAAAGGAGCGTAACACAAAAGCGTAGAAAAGTGTTGAAATAACAACAACGGGAAAACTTACCCAGTTCACGTAGGCAATGCTTTTTTAATTAGTAGGCAGGCAGCCAGGACCTGGCCGGCCTGGCAGGACTCCAGGACGCCAGACAGTTGCGCATTTTGGACACTGTAATGTACACAGAGAGGATATCATATTTGGGATTAGCTTTTGACAACATTCAGTACGAGTTTTTTCGTGTTTGTTTGTTGGCGTGTTTTTCAAAGTGGGTTAAACAATTTGCGGCTCGTTGCGCTTTAAAGTGGGCTGTATGAAAAAACTCACAGAAGGGGGCGTGTCGCTGTCGTTGACAAAAATCTTTTGTGGTTGCCTCTAATTAAAAAGCGACGGCCAACAGCGAGCTGCGCGGTTTGAGAGAGAGAGCAGCTGCAGCGGGCGCAGTCTTTGGCTTGGCCCAATGAAGCGAGTGCGAGCGACAAAAAAAACTATAGCATACTTTTGAGCGCGGCGCATATTTTGCCACGGCATAATTAATTAAAAATATCTGACATGCAATAATAAATTTTCGCCTAGTCGCCGCGAGTGTGTGTGTGTGGGTGTGTGTGTGTGTGTGTCTCTCTACCTTACGCCCAAACACATCCTCCCTCTCCCTCTCTCTCTCTTCTTCTGTCTCGCTCACGCCGTGTTAAATGCCCCAAAGTGCAAAAGTTTTAAATAAATGAATTTGGTGTGCGCAGCCAAGGCAAAACATAACTGACATCATTAGCAAACTTTAATACACTTTGCGCCCAGCGGCAGCCACTCAGGCAAAATAAATAAACGAAATGAGACCAAATGATGCGCAGTGGAACAGCCAGCAGCATGGAATAAAACTAAACTGAAATAAACTAAAATGGAATGAAATGAAATGCGAATTGTATACAATAAAATTTACGTGGCTCGCTTAAAATGCAAGCCACACGGCCACTGAGAGGGCTGTAAAATGTTTGCCATACAATAAGTTGGACTTAACAGCGTTGCACAACACTGTTCATCATTTTTGAAGAAGAGTTAGTTGAAGTAAACTTTTTGAAATTCTATTAAAGTTTGTGTTTATTTGCCTGCCTGTAGGAACATTTATCTAGTGTTTTGAGTACCATGTTTAGGCATTATACAACACTATTTTAGCTAAAATCCCTAATATTGTGCATGGTCACTAATAAATATTAAGTTTAAATTTTGAGAAGCATTAAATGCAAAGAAGAGTATTTGAGAGATTACCCAACACTATTTATAGCTGAATATATATA